GCTATGGCCTTGTTTACACCGATCGTTTGATACGCGTATGAGGTACTATATTCGTACTAAATTGATTTAGTCCAGCGGTGTAAACGATAGCGTACTGAACTGGTACGATACGCTTGCAAAAGGAGTATCGTACCAATTTAGTATGCGTATCAAGTAATTTTGTGTCGGTGTAAACTGTAGCGCATTAAATAATAATTATCGAAGGAACGTTACGGTTAGGTGAAATGAGGTTTTCTTCGAAAATCTTGACTTATTTTTAAAAGTCCGACTAAGCTTGTAAATAAACAACTGATAATATTTTCCGAATCCATCGCAATCTAAGGATCACCGATTTTCCAACCAAATTAAATATAATACGTTTCTGTATCAAACCTAACCTTAATGTACTTTTTTGCACACTTAATACACATGGTGTAAACGCAGTCGGATTTAACATTTGGTACGCATCATTTTGGTTCACGTATCAAATAATTTTACGGTGTAAACAAAGCCTATGTTGTTGAGGTCCCGGAACAAGCAATTCTTATGTCTTAAATCATTCAGTATCATAGATAGGAAATCAATTAAATTTTGAATCCGGCTAACTTCCATTTAATAAACATTTAATTAAAATTATCTGGATCACTCACAAACCTTTTTAATTGCACTACAAACGTCTTCATACGAAATACCAACGATTTCATATAAAAATTTTATCTAATTTATCTATTGCGCTAAGTATACGGTGGAAAAATAATTAATTAATTACAAACAAACGAATGACTCACAAACCTTTCTAATTGCACTAGAAACGTCTACATACGAAATACAAACGATTGCATATAGAAATTATTTAAAAATACATTCAGTCGGCGTCAAGTCTGAGCGAATACTTTGCACTAACACACGTACAAAAATCCTGTGATTGGTCATAACTAGAACATGTCGGATGCGCAGTACGGATCGGCGCGAACGTGAAACAAAAGAGCGAGTGGGCATACTGGTTATACTGTGGTTTTCCTATAAAGACTGTACGCCCATTGGATATCGCTCGTCGCTCATCGCGTTCAGTCTGAATCCGGCCTATTACTTTACGACTTCTATGTAAACGAGGCTTGAGGCTATGTGCGTATCATGCGCAAAACGGAACGCACCTTTGGACTGCTTTTTTCTGCGCCAGCATGCGTTTTTAACCTAAAAATCATGTGTTTTATGGCATTTACATATGTATTCGAGTAATTATGCCATACTATTGTTGTTAATATATAGATAAATTAGAATAATGCTGAACTTTCTAATCAGGTAATGTTATAAGTTTATTAAAACGATTTCGAAAATATATAAGATGTATGTATAATAATATAAAGCCAGATTTATATTGAAATCTAATTGTAAATTTCTACAATTTGTTTTAATATAATTTATAAACCATGTATTAATATTATCTGAATTTACATATTATTATATAATACAATTTTACAAAAAAGAATGTAAAAAATGTATATAAGTAGACCTGTTTAGCAATAAATAGTAATTAAATGATTATTGAAAAATAGATGTTACATTCCAGCATAATCTATCCTGCATAATTTATAAACTTAAATGTCTTTGCTACAAATTAACATTACTCGAGACGAAATTTTAGTAAAACTATTTGTAAGTTTCAATCGTGAAGTTTCTTCAAAGTTAAAAAATATACAGTAATTTGATTGAAAAAATATTACTGAAGAACTATTTAAAATTTTAATACTATCCATTAAATATTGGGCTTAAGTATTACACACGTTAAGTACCTCTGTTAGAAGATATTGACATACAATTGATAATATCCAATTGTACTTTTAGACAAATTTGACAATGAAATTTACATGTATGTATTTATTTCCTGCAGTTTATAAATTGTTTACCATTCTTATAAAGTGATAAATCATGAAGGAGCTTACAACAAAACAATTACAACGATTAGAAAAGAAGAAGGCAAAGATGGCAGCATTTTTAGAAATTGCGAGGCTCAATGATAAAGATAAGGAAGCAAAACTGCAGACTTTAAAGCAGGTTTGTATTTAGATCTAAGAATAGTTTTAAACAATGTTTTTGCAATTAGCTAGATCTGAAAATAGTTTTAAACCATGTTCCTGCAATTAGCTTTACGAAATTATTTTTAGACGGCAATTGTCACTGATGGACACAGTCCAACTGATAGTAATTTGCTAGAAGACAGCTCTACTCGTAAACGATCTTGTGAGAAAGATTTAGATGATACATGTTCAGAGGCATGCAAGGGAGAAAATATTTCTAGTGACACAAAATTAGAGGATAATAAAAAACCGAGGTAACTTTATTGATCTATACACAGTGTAATGTATAAAAGGCATGTGATATTATTTTATACATGTATATATTATACTACATACACGTGTAATCCATATGTGTATAGATTAAGCGATATAAACCAATATGCAAGCTTGAAGGAGGAACTCAGGAGACGTAAGAAGAGGCTTAAAGCAATTCCAAGACTCACTCTTAAAGCGGTTGGCGAGAATGCTACTCTGGATGTTCAAAACGTAGGAAAGAGGATACCAATATTTCTCAGCGATGTACAACATCTTCTGTTATATTCACTGCTCGGCCATCATTCACCCTACTTGCCAGCGAGATGGTGTCAACTTGAGAAGTATAACAAAGTAATATCTGGGTATAAAGTAGCATCAAACAGTATTTTATTCTAAAGATAATTTAAATTGTGATGTCTAAATAAACCAATTTTCTCCGAAGGTAAGCCACACTGTAGTCCTGGTGCTTGAAGGCTTGTCTTCGTATCATTACACGGCTTATGAGAGCATGTTCCCGCACATAGTAAATAACTTAAAGCATCGTTTAGAGGTAATAACACCTGCTGTCTACGGAGCATCCATAACAGAAGAGCTAGCAGCTGTTCCTTTAACAGGAACTCAAAGTGATAAATTAATTAAACGTACGTTACATAACAGTAAAATATATTTGATATATTTTCTATCATAATGAATATTTTTAAGTTTTACTCTTCCTATGAAATAAAATATTCTAGTTGATTATTAGGAATGTGTGTTCACAAAATATACAGCAATCAAATTCTATAATATATTAATTTCTAATGTTAATACAAATTATATATATATATATTATAATGACAATGGAAGGCACTTGTTCGTTTTTAGGATACGGTTCCTTAGAAACTGCTCTGCAAACAAACGGAAATGTTATAAAATTGCTGAGAAGCGTCTTTCCGATGCACTCGATAAACGGTGACGAGAAATTGCCTACGAAGGACAGCTTCGACGGAGATTTGCCATCGACTGATAAATTTTCTAGAACGAAACTGCTCTTGTCGTTATGGCAAATGGTGGAGGAAAACTATCCTGTACCTCTAAGAGGAACGTTAGCAGAAAGGCAAGGCTCTGCCATTATAGACGTTAATTATATTGTTACGATATAACTATAATTAATCGATTCGAATAATTCCAGATACGGTTCGTATATATTAACAAAAGATGTTTATAAAGAGGCCACGTCAACATCGCCGATGTTCGGTTTAGATTGCGAAATGTGCCTGACAACAAGCGGCAATTTGGAACTCACTAGAATAAGTGTTGTTGACGAGAGCATGAAGGTGAGTGCAGTCGCGTGCATTTGCGTTAGGCGGTGGCGTGCAAATTGTTTCAATTACAGGTCATTTATGACAGTTTGGTGAAACCGGAGAACGCAATAACAAATTATCTGACTCGGTACAGCGGCATTACTGAGGATATGTTGGACGACGTCACGGTAACGTTGCACGACGTTCAACAGACGCTGAGAACGTTACTTCCTGCGGATGCGATTCTTGTAGGACAAAGCCTGAATTCAGATTTGCACACGTTAAAAATGATGCATCCCTACATCATCGATACCTCCGTAATATTCAATCTTACTGGAGATAGGTACTGTAAGATGTTATAAATATCAATGTTAATGAACACAATTTCAATTCACGTTTTGTTATCTGACACAGATATAGGAAAACGAAACTGCAGATTTTGGCACGTGAATTCCTCGGGGAACGCATTCAAGACAGTAAAGCCGGACACTGCTCGGCCGAGGACTCGAAGGCTTCCATGAAATTAGTAAAGTTGAAATTAGCGAACAGCGTGGATTACGGAGACGCCGTGCTGCTCGGCGATCGCAGCATGAGAGTCTTGAAAATGGAAACTGGCAACGAGAGAACGAAGCGAACATTGCAAAGTACAGAAATAAAGAAATACGCCACATCGATATTTAGTCACATAACGAAAAATAAAGGTGCCACCGCCGCTATCGTGGGCGATGATGAGGTGATGTCCGAATATTCCAAATATTTAACGAACTCGTCTCTCAATGTCATGGACGACGAAAGTTTTGCGAAGGATGATCAAGTTAGTGTGCATCTATGAACGCAATATTAAATATATGTTTCGATGACTTTAATGAACATTCATCTATCGAGAAATTAAAACAAACTGAAAAGATAGAGTAAAATTGTTTTCAATTATATCTATTATCAATCTTTGATAATTGCAGGTACGTCTTGTGATAGCAGACAACGATAAACACGCCGTAGATCGGACTTCGGAAATCGTGATGGAGCATGATTTTGTACTGTGCCATGTGAAACTCAGGGAAGAACAACTGAAAGACGAACAGCTAGAAGAAACATTTCGTACTGTGAATGAATGGATTTATAAAATTTGGCAATATAGCGCGATAAATAGTCTCGCATGCGTGATATTCAGTGGGCAAAATAATACTGCGAATGGTTCATGTTTCTTGAATATCAAGACAGAGGTGTCGCCAGACATTGTTTTACGAGCTTGAAAGAATTTTGAAATTACCGAATCATCTTGTGAATTATATATGAAGGAAATAAACTAATTTTGTTAATATTGGATACAGCATCTGAAAGAAACCACGGCTGTAATAGTTTAAATAAATAACATACTTGTACAAATAACATTTGCTAATGAAAATATATTTTATAACTCAATTCACTTATTTTGCTTTATATGAAACATGTTTATTTATATTTTTCTTGCTTTTTTTAATAAAATATCTTGTTTCGTAAATTTTAGTAACTGCGGCTTATTACGTACATAAATATACTAAATGTTATACAGTAATACATGCAAAAGATACAATTATTTTCTTCGAACATTATTACAAAGTAATTTACTTCGGGGAAGTGTGTTGAACAGCGATAAGATTAATAAACCATAAATGCATAACTTAAAGAACTTAAATTTTACAAGTCTCGTCATCCTTTTAAATTCAGACTAATACATTATACATTCAGAAAGTAACATGGTTAATAGAGTCCCTTATCGTGAGACAGGAGACAGGTTCTTAATATGAGAGCGGGGTTTCTGCTAAATAGGCATTATTCGTAGTTCCACCATGAATTTATTAACCTAGAAGTAAAATCTGCTTAGTGGAAAATTCATAGTTAGATTCGTGTAGCATGTAACTGTTGCAAAAAGGATTTGTGAAAGTGGATGTTGAAAACCTGTCTCGAAGCGACTTCGGTTGCTTGTACTAGCGCGCACAGAGTGTACTAAGGTTTGTTCATAGTCAATTCTTATATTTAAAGATTGTCTTAAATATCTCTTGGAACATTTCTTAGCCAGTGAAATGATCTGCATGGCATCCATACGAATCATTTCTTGGCTAAATACTCTTTGAACATGTATTTAGGACATGTATTAGAAAGTTAAATATAAGAATTAACTATAAATAAACCTTAGTGCACTCAGTGCGCACTAGTATAAACAACCGTTCGCTATTATATTAGGAACCTATCTCGTAACTTTCCTTTACACATTAACGAAATATCTATTTTTTAAACGAGTTCATTTTATACATTATGTAGGTTAAATTTGGTTCTCGCTTATTTCTATCAAGCATGCGTTGCCTGAACGAAGCTGCCATGGCAGCTCCTTCCGACAATTGTTTTTTAGTATTCTGTAAGTTTACTGCAGAGAACTGCGTGGCGCAACCATCATAATCGGCGGTAGTTACCTCATTCATCGCAACTGACGACATTTGTTGTTCGTTTCGTGAGACTTTTCGTTTCTTCTTCGCTCTCGTTGGCGCATCCGTAAGATTCTCTAACATATCATTCGAAAGTCGCTTTAAGCCGGCTGTAAAACAACGTTCTGGTGATGGCAGAAATATAGGTTTGTTTCTCAATTGTCCGCTAACTGGTCTTTTGCTAGGTTTCTTCTTCGCTTCCAATTCTTTAGGAGTGTGCACCTTTGTAGTAGCTTTATTCAGTTTTTTAATAGTATAGGCTACATTTGTTGATTTTCTTGCATCCATTGTATTTTCTCGTAGTAGTTTACGAGACACGTCTTTATCAGACTTTAATTTTGAAACTGGAATCCGCACTGGCAAAGTATTCCTCTTTTTTCCTGTCTGCAAAGTCTCGATAACTTCCACTGTCTCTTGCCGTTTAGTTTTCTTCTTTATCACATACTTATCTGTAGGCGAGTCCACCTTCAAATTGCTTACAGTTTTATGTTTCTTCTTCTGCTGTACTAACTCCTGTTTGTTCTTACAAATATATTTTTGAGGTATATTATCTTTGTTCACATTTTCATCCTCTTCAGCTACGTTAATTTGTTTCTTCTTTATCTTCGTTTCTCTTTCCTTAATCTGATAGGTGTCTTCAGGAGAATTATCTTGTACAATAGTTAATTGATTGTGATTAGCACGTTTTTTCTTTTTGGAAATGTGTAATTCTTTCGCGTCCTCAGAAGTAGCTTTTTCAATATTTTCCTCTAGTGTTTCTCTTCTCTTCCTTTTCTTTCCTGTCTCATTAATCATATCTGCATTTACGTAGGTATTATCCTCCAGAACTAATTGGCTAAGCTTAACACGTTTTTTCTTCTTAGGAATCATTAATTCTACTGTATCATTGGATACAGATTTTTCGGTAATAGTTTCCTTTGGTGTTTCTCGTTTCTTCTTCTTTTTCTTTTCTTTCTCATTTATCTGATACATATCTTCACAAA